ACAAAGCTCTTTTAAAATAGAATGGAAAACACAGTTAGTCTTGCAGTCTACAATGAAAGTTTTATGGTAATAGCTGCTCTTTCACGTATTCACTTTTATTTACTTCTCCTGATTCCTGTGCTCTCCTTCACCTTTGTCAGGGCTCCTGAAAGTATTCATAGGCATCAGCAGCAAGGAGTAGTGAGCTGCTGCTCTTTCCTTCACCAGACCTGAAGCCTGACATATCAGTGCAGCAACACATCTGAGGTTCTGTAATGCTCAGTGCAACTTTTTTCCTGTGGTTCTTTAAGTAATGACACCTTTGTATAGATACGAGCTAAAAATCCCCAAAACTTGTAGCACCAAGTCTACCTGTTTGTTAATGCAAGGCTTGGCTTGAGAATATGCAGTAAATTATTCCTGAAGGCGAGATTAGAATTCAGGGAGCTCTCGCTCCAGGCTTTTCTATGCTCTGCACCATCAAGTATGGATTTCTTTACTGCATGGAGACAGAGAAGATCATTCTTGTACCTCTTTTGCCCTCCTTAGCTGCCCCAAGCATGCTTGCTTTTCCCCCTCAAGAAAATGACCTCGTTTCACTGGTTTAACCTGATGTATTTACTTTGCAACAGATCAGGAGCACATACCGACACCCACTCACCACATTTCATCTCAGGGTAACAAATAACTTCTTATGAGAAGTTAGCTTGGTCACCTATATTCTTTTGCACTCTGCTTTATGCCACTACTTTTCCTGTCTAAAATTATGCAGTTCATTAAAGCAACAACAACAAAAAAAAATTATAATTGTGCATTATTCAGGCTTGAGAGCAGGGACAAGGAAGGGAGAGAGATTTTAGCATTTTTAAATGCTAAAATGGGAATAGAGGAAAAAAGAGAGGCCCACATCTCTTGTGAGATGGGAATCCCCTGCATGGAAAATGCAATTTTTCATGCCCTGAGCTCTGTGGCTTAGGACATAACACACAGAGCAGTTCCGAGCACACAGTGGCACTCAGAAGCAAATGTTCATCTGCTCAAAATGAATATGTGTGCTTGAGGCTCTTATGATTTTGCTAAGCACACACACACACACACATGAAAAAAAAAATCAACTTGTTTTTACAATAAAATAATCAGTCACACATGCAAAAACTGTTCCTAAATGTGTCTTGTGAAGGGCTCTTTAAAACCTCTGCAAAGGGATAATTTTTGACTGAAATGGAGAGGTGAAGACCATGGGTGCATTCTTTCTCACATGGTGAATGTGGATAAAAAACATCTCTTTCACAACTGTATAGCCTCTAACAGTTCAGGGATGGTTAGCCACAAACGCTGTAAAAATAATCTGGTCTTGAAATAGCAACCTTTCTCATTTTTTCCCCATGCCCTCCTTTACTGGTACATACCAGTAAAGGCATGTACTGGTATACCAGTAAAGGTATACCAGGCTTTCTTCTCAGCTGATGAATATCACCATTCCTGTACTAATACCAAACATGTACCAGTTTAACCTATCTGGGGATCCGACCCCTCTCTGCTGTCCCAGATCTGTGGTCTCTGCAGAAAGTAATATTATTTGATACAGACGCAGAGGTAGGCGTCCTGCCCCCACTAGTTCATATTTAACTCTCTTTTCATCTTGTTTATTTTGCTTTCATGGTATCAAAGCAAGCTGCATACCCAGCAACAAGCTTGCAGCAAATAGGTACATCTTATTTTTAGCAGATTGCCCTTCACAGGGCACACACTACACTCCCAAGGGATTTATGAAGAGGGTCAGGTCAAAGTCTCTATAATTTGAATTTTTATTTGTGTGCTAGAAGACTTATGCTTGGCTTTTCCAGTACAGTTGGAGCACACACAGGGATTCAAAAGTAGTATGGGAAGATGCAGTGTGTGGTGACAAGTAATCACCACTCAGTATTTTGTCTCTCTGCTTCCCCAGAGATGAAAAGCTCTGCCCGCCCTTTCCCTACACCCTAAAGACACAGATAGAGGTGAGGGGGCAGAGTCCTGCCCTCTACAATAACTGAGGCTAGAGGCTTCTCCTGCCTGTCAGACTCCAAAATGGGGCAGGTGCCTCTTCTCACTTTGAGGCAAAGAGACACCACGAAGCCTCGACACTGAGCTGTCAGTTAAGAAAAGACCTAAAACGTCCTCTAGCAAGGAGATGAGGATGGTCCTGGAGGTAAAAAGAAAAGATGACAACCTATGACTCACTCAGACACTGTTTTCTGAGGAAACCTGCCAGGAAGTGCTATCTCCACAGTCTATTCAGGCTGTGCAGTGGAGATTGGCAGTGAGATCTCCCAAGACAGCTCTGAAACAGTTGGCTGGACGCAACAGAGCAGGATAACATGGTCCTGTCTTCTTTGTCCAACTCCCAGCACTGGGACTAGACCTTCCAGCACCTAGCTTTGTATTTCTGCACCACACCTGCCCAGGGATCTCTAACACAGCATTGCCTCAGCTTTCTCCATCTCCTTTGTGCTCTCCCAGCGTACCCACAGTGCAAGACAGACAAAATGAAAATCACACAGGGTTGTCCTCAAGTACAACACCCAGAGCCACCAAAATACTGCTGTCTGCCCAGATGGACCAACCTTGCTCCATTACTGGCTATTACAAGGTCACCATGCTTTGTGTTTTTGACTGGTGTGCCAAAAAGCTGGAACTGTGCTTGCCATTTATAGCACCTTTTCTCAGATGGCTCTCACATGTCTTTATAAACTTTGGTAAATGAGTATATAAATCACTCTGTCCACCACCAAAGTACAATCATCTCTGGGATGATACACAGCAGCTGCTGTAAAATCAGACTGCAGCTCCACACCACAGATTAGGGCAATAAAACATGCTGCATAGGCCAGCTGAAATGGATGGAGGACAGAAGGGGGATGTGGTAGAGGACATTTTGTAGTTCTAATTACCCAAGTATAAATTTGGCTGAAGAGGGTACTGTGTTTAATCCTTGCATATCTGCAAATCAAAACAATCTTCCACCACATGTCAAAACAATCTGACTGTACCATTCCCCATGTTTTGGCCTTCTAAAACCCTTCCTCTCTGAAAATTGCAGAGCACCTTGATAAGAGCAAAGCTGATGTGCTGCGTACAAGCAATAACCTAATCAAATTTCTTAGCAACTGACTTGATAACTGAGTCTGTAGCTTCTGTGTCCCTCCCTTCCTCTCTCTTGCATGACAACTGAACACAGCATCTATATATACCCAGTTCTAAAATAGCTTCTGCTCCCGTAACTCGCAAACCGTTCACATAGATCTCATTTTCTAGGCTAAAAGTAGTTAATTGCAGTCACTGAGGGGACTGAACTGCTGTACCCTTTTCCTTATTCTGGGATGGGCTCCTTGAACACTGTAATGCCCCCTCCCGCCTCCCTGCCAAATCATGAACTGTTTATAAAAGGAAATCTTTTGAAGGATGGGGCTGCACAGATCAGATCTACAAATTTCCTGTTATCAGGGACTGCAGTTGAATCGTTATCCTTCTCTCCCTCTTTTCTCCTTCGCCATACAGCCGTGTATGTACCATCTAAAGCTAAACCTCACAGCTCAGAAAGTACAGGAATTTATTTGAAAGGTACTTCCAATCAATATATGACATGGGACAGCATGGTTTGGGATGAGGACACCAAACTGAGTTGAGCCTCATACAGACTTTGCACAGAGCAGAAATTAATCTGAGTGCAAACTCTCTGCGCAGACTTCTCTGTCACAAGTGTTCCTAGCTTCATAACCTCTCCTTGACAGTGCAAAAGCTGAAATTATTAGCGAAATACTCATAGAGAACCAAGAGAGTCAAGAATTAAGCATTTGAATTTGATTATTATTGAAACATTACTAATAGTGAATGGCAGCTCAGTTGGACCATACGCAAGGCAGGGTCCATTTAGTTCTCCAGCTTGAATCAGAATCACACCCACATGTAAGCCTCTTGCACTGGCTCACACTGCAGTTTCCAAGTGCAGGGGTTCCTTTAACTGGAACTGGACCAGACCAACTGCTAAGGGAAATTTGGTACACACAGAGCTAGACTTTAACTACCCCAGAATAAACTCCTGAGGTGCATAGAGTGTTTGCCCAACAGCCCCACTACCAGCTGTGCTGGATGGTGAATCTGTGCATGCAGGAGCACACTACTTGTCCATGTAGACATGCCCATATGCATATGTGGAATATCCTTAACGAACCAGCCAGCTAAAGACTGATTTCACACAGATTTCTACACGCTTTCATTGAAATGTTTACTATTTCACATCCTCATCAAGAGAGAGATGTCATATGAATGACATCACACATCTATCCTGTAGGATAGCTCTCCCAGCAATTCCCCTTTGGTTTCCTAGGCTGTCAGCTTTCAGAAACTGATGAGATTAACCATACTTTCCTTGGGGCTGCATAGTAGGGTGTCCTGTGTGCAACTCCGCCCCCAGCATCACCCAGTAAACTGCCCATACTCCAGGCCACGTTGCACTTTCACATATTGGCAGGCCTCAAGGAAGTCAGCTGAACTCACCAGACATGAGGGCACAATTAGGCCTGCCATATATGAATGAAAAGAGTAAATAACAAAAGCGGAAACAAAAATGGCCTTGGCAAATACAGATAGTGGTGAAGTAATTTGAACACAGTATAAGAGAATTAGATACCATAATTTTTTTAAAGTTTACACATACATTCTGCTGCTAGATGAAAAAAAAAAAACAACATTTAAAACAAAACTTTGAAGTTTATGATTTGTAAGAACACTATTTATGCCCCTACAAACTTCAGTAAAGAAAATAGACCGGAAAAACAATAGAAGCATTTGTAAAAGAGGAAAAATAGAAATGTGTAGTTTCATAGCCTGACAACAGCTGGTTGATTTGAATAATGTAAAATATTTTTTAAAGGTTAAGCATTCACTATGACACAAAGTTTCTAGGCCATCTCTTGTGTTGATACATTTACATTGAGTTGCTCCCTGCACAAAGCCCCAGACCAGCACATCATACTCACGTGTTTTGCAGAGAACTCATCCACCTCCTGGAGCACCTTCTCCTGGCACTCCGGGTTGGTGGCCAGCAAGTAGGTGGCAAAGGACAGCGTGCTCGTGGTGGTCTCATAGCCAGCAATGAGGAACAGGAAAGCTTGGCCAGCTATCTCATCCTCTGTTAGCGTCTTCTGAGCCTTTTCAGATGGGGCTGTGCCAACCAGAGGCGTCTCATTCTGTCTGGGAGCAGCAGATGGGCTGAGCACATCCGAGCACACAGCTGCCAGGGAGTCGGCTGAGTCACAGGCATCAAGCATCCACTGGAGAAAATCTCTGCGCCTCTGCAGGACAGAGAACATGAGGGATGGGTCACACAGCAATACCTTCCATGGGGGATGGAAGCAGAGAGCTACTTCCTATTTATAGTGCATGCTTGGCTCCTACAGAATGCACCAACCTTTCACTGAATGAGAAGGCTTCTATAAATCAGGTGGAAATGCCATAAGTAACAGCCTGTCATTGCTTTCTTCTCAGTGAGATGAGACTGATCTGCCCCCAGTTCACAAGAGGTATGTGATGTATCCTTCACAGAGGATTCCTAATGGCCAGCTCTGCACGGAGCTTCTTTTATTCTGAGACTGAGTTCTTGGCACTTGCTGGAAATCAGGGGATTGACATAGACACTGTACATGCAGGTTCCATGTGCACCTGCCAGATGGAGGCAGTACAAATCATTCTTGGAGGAGCTGGTCCATCTGCTTGGATGGACCATCCTCATTTGTTCTTATGGTCCAAAGCATGGAACTCACCATCTACGTTCAGGGTTGCTTCTACATTGCTTTCTATATTAGCTTAGTATGACAGGGCTGGAATCTAATCTCAGTAAATCGGGACATCGTTTTATGAGAAAGTACAGTTATGAACACTTGTAACAAGATAGCCTTTTTAAAAACAATTTTTCAAGAACATATTTGCAGAACCATATTGAAACATTAAGCATTCCCCTACCACAAAACCTGTTTGGGCTGCTTGTCTTTGCAAAATGCCCACTGAATGATCCTACTGTTATGAGAATTGTTTCTTTCACACTAGTTTCTGACACAAAAGCTCTAATAAACAGACCTATGGCCAAGAGTGAGCTGACTCCCAACCAGTGTGGACAGCAAGCTTGATTAGGCTTTGAAATATAACCCCAAAGGTTTGAATTGACTTTTGCGAGTGGGCATAATAGAATTGTGCTGAACCTAAGCCATAAGGCTGTGTGATTGATTTTCAATTCCTCAAATACCAACAGAATACATGATAGCTCAAGGACTCAGAAGTGACTGCAGTGTGAGAACATGACAACTTGTGCAGTGGGATGGACAAAAGGAGTTACCAAGCTTTTCTCCAAAAGAAAAGAATGTGATGTAAACTGTATTTATCTGTTAAAAATTAATCATTTGAATGATTTCTGGGATCTGATGTTTGAGAGATAAAGTAGAAAAAAGAAGGGCTAGAGAAAAGGACAGGCAAACAAGATAAAAGTAAGGAAGAAGTAATTAATTATAAATGTCAGACGACTTAATCAGATTATTTATTTTTCGCACGACATGGGGAAAGAGAGCAATGAGACAAGAAAACAGCAGAAATACTCAGTGTCCTGTGCTTAGCTCTGCTGCCAACAAACTGTTCTGATCGATCTACAGGCACAGAGGAATGGTTATTTTGGGGTTTGAATAACAGGGGATTGGCACAGTGCCTCTTTAACAGCTCCTTCCCTCCACCCTACAGAACCTTTCCATTTTGTACCTTGTACCCAATGAGCATCCTGCACCCTGGTACACCCAAAAATCAATGCTCCGGATAGCAGCCAGTGCCTGCTGAAGGACTCTGCACATTCACCAGTCAGACTGAATCACCCCCAAGGCATGGGAGACGTGCTTTTCCACCAGTACGTGAAGGCACACAAAAAACCTGTTACAGACATTGTGCTCTGCAAATGAGCTGCAGCTCTGAAAACACTTCCCTGTGCCTAGACTTAAGCACAATTCCCACCAGCATGATAGGAAACCTCTGCTCCATTATGTTCCTGTAGATTGGAGGAAGTAAGACTTCATGCAGACTTCAGCTGTGAATAGCTCAAAATCTCGTTTAATTTTTATGAGAAAGAGAAGTTTATTCACATCCTGGGAGTTCACGTATTGCACAACTCAGAGTCCAACTCTTTGACATAGCCTGTGCTTCAGTGATTTCCCTGGTACATATATTTGTATTAGGCCATTTCTAAAATTGAAAGAACCAAGCAAACAAGGAAAAAAAAAGCTAACCAACCAACCAAACAAAAAAAAATCCAAAACCAAACAAATAAACAAACAAAAAACAACAATAACAAAAAAACAAACCAAGAGAGTCCAGTTCCAGTGTGTTCATTAGTGTGTGGATAAACAAATTCAAAGTAGTAATGAATCGCATCTGTAGAGACAGTCTCTTTATCTGCAAGACTAGCCACTATCACCCAAACTACCTTCATAACATAAAAATGTATAATTACATTCCTATTCAGTGGAACTGTAGCACTGTAGCATCCTGCAGCTCAAAAGGTGTAACATTTGCTATTATTCTGCATCCATCCTTCTCTAGCTGTGAATTTTCTTGTAAACAAACCCATTGCCCTCTAAGGGTTTGCTGTTCCCAGTCATGAGCTGTTAGACGAGCCTGGTCTTATATTTAGACAATACACTCTGGAGACCCTGTAAGATGTTTCTCCAGCCTTAAACAAAATCAGGTCCTGGCCTTATACAAAGCATCGAGTTGTTGCTGTGATAGCAAAGTAATAATCATAATGACTACTGAATAGAATTTCATTCATGAGAATTTTTGCTGAAAGCAAACTTAATGAATACCAGCACAAGTGAATATTCCCAGGAATGTGCTCTGAAATGCCTCTGTGGCCATTTTGAGGAGCTCTTTTTATTACTCACATAATATATTTGGTTAGGAATTTAAAAGCTTGTCTTGTTGCAGAATCTGTTTTTAAGGTCATCCTATCTAGAAAAAACTGGATACCTGATCTGTTCCATGTAACTTGCTCACAGGTGAGCAGGGGTTGCTAAGAGCAATGCCTTCATAAACAAACCTTGCAAAAACAATATTCATTTGTAAAAACAACAAAAACAACTTGAATAAGGGGGGGGGGGGAAAGCATAACATTAGAGAGAAGCAAGCTTTCTTCCAAGATAATTCTACACAGTGGAAGGAGCTATATTTCAGCAAAGCTTCTCTTCCTTATGCTTCATTCTGCTTCACTTTAGGCATCAGTTTAGAGTGCCACATAAAAAATCGTCCTCAACCCAAGCGAGAGAAAAGATTTCCAGGGTTATAACAAGTCATAATGAAACATATTTTTTTTCCGCACCATCAGGATGGAAAAATCGCTCTTATTCCAAACCCTAACAATGGCAATAGAGGAAAAAACTAGCATAAACCCAAATATAATTGGATTGTTAAGTGCTAGAAATAAGGAAAAAGCATCTCATGAAAATTCACAGGGGGGGTTTCTCCACTTCAGCTGACAGCAGAAGGAAAAAAAAATATTTACAAATTACATTTTTTTCTTAATTTAACAACAGACCAGGTACTTACAGTGCCACTGCACAAAAACATTCTTTGGTCATCACATCTAGCTGCTGGCTTCATTTTTCCATCAGGGACATTTGTTTGATTTTCCTCACAAGAAGCAGAAGCCCATAATAGCCTCCATCCTGTCCTCTGACACTTGCATAGTTATGTTACAATGGCCTCAGAGACAAATTCCTGCCACAAAAGAATGGCGTGCTAATGCAATGGACTCTTGATTTGCCCCTGTGCAACACAGACCCTGTCATTAAGCCAATGATAATTGAATGGAAAGCTAGGATTTGAACAAAAACCATATCATTTGAATGTGGCGTGGGACAGGGCGAATGTCTAACTTGGCGGTGACACAGACATCCCCTCTGAGATATATAATAAGACAAGCTCCGCTTACAGCTTCCCCAAGACAGACACCTTGCAGTATATTTCCTGACACCAGTGTTCTGGGCTGTATCATTCCTCTCATTAGTCTCCTTAAGCATCACCTGGCCATGCAGAGAAATGGCTCTGCACGGAGGCGGAACGAGCGGCGCGCTCGCGCTGCGGAACAGACGCGCGCCGTGCCAGGGCAGGCCAGGCCGCCGGGATCCACCTCCCCTCCTCAAATCATGGCTCCCAAGCTCTGCAGCTGTCAGAAGGAGGGAGATGTCCCACTCACACGTGAGATGCAGCATGACTTTTCTCGCAGGAGGCAGGGGATGTCTCCAGCTCTCTCCATCCTAAGCAGGGAGTTGTGGTTTCGTATCTGAGGCTGACATGGCAGCTGACCTTCTGGCAAATTCACCGTGCTTTGGGGATCCAGGGGACCCTTGGGTCATGCATTTGGTAGAAAGATTAAGCTGTTCAACTGTAGAAAATTAATTTGTAGACAATTCTCAAATTCTTAGTTAGCTTCTGATTGTGATAGCATGAATTATAACATCTCTATTGTCTCACCCTTCACATAAGACTGAAAATAAAAATTTTTAAAACACCTCTCTGTTGCGCTGTCTCCGAGTCAGAAAGTAACTTAATCCAACATTCACCTTCCCTGCAAGCTAAAGTAAAAAATTACTTAAGGAAAACTACCAAATGATATATCAGTTTGAATTTTAGTTCCTAATATTTTGATTTCAGTCATGTTTTCTGCAAATTATATTCAAATTTTGTACCACTCTGATAGTTCAGATATGCATTTTGAGTTTGAAAGAGCCCAGAAACACAAAAATCTAGTTCATGATGAATCAAGGATTCAAAATAAATGACATAATTGGTTGATAGTCTGTAAAGCACTTGCTGTGGTGTAAAAGTCATGCAAATGTGATGCTGCTAATATAATACAAATCACAATAAACTGTAGAGTCCTTCCCAGTCTTTCTCAAATGCGCAGATTCAAACTCAAAATGATAGATTTCAGAATCCTTAGCTATCAGGTAGTAAGCTCACATCTCATTTCAGCAAACTTGTACAAAAACTACTAAGTCAATGTATATCCAGGAAGCTTTTTATAAGCTAGTTTTGGCAACCCTCTTTTTAGGTAAGGCAAACCTGTGTCCCACTGAGGTTATCAGTAAAGCACTGCAGTAGCTTCCCAGATCCTTTTGAAAAAGAAGCACAGAATGCAGTCCCACTCAAACTATTACTTAGCCAAATTTCTTTGAAAGGATCAAATTCAACCTCTAACGCTTGCAGGCTTCATTTGGTTTCTCAGTGAAATCACAAAAGAAAAGCCAGTTTCTCTGCCGAT